ATTGCTTTTCGTTTATACAAATTGGTATCAGAGCTTACTAGGTTATTCCACGTTGTGGGGTTTGCTACCACGATGACAGGAAAAGGCTCAAGCATCAATGATATTGAGAGGTTCAATGGAAAGAACAACTTCACTTTTTGATGACGAAGGATGAAGGATCTTCTGATACAGCAAGGTCTAGCTAATGCTTTGCTAGGGAAATCAAAGAAATCAGCAAAGATAGACGATGAAAAGTGGCAAGAGATGGAGGAAAAGGCGGTAAGCACGATTCGTCTGAATCTATCATATGACGCCTTGTGTTATGTGGTGGACCTCGAAACTGCTCCGGAGGTTTGGACAAAACTTGAAAGTATCTACATGATGAAATCTCTGACGAACAAGTTGTTCTTGAAAAAACAATTGTATTCTCTTCAGATGGAAAAAGGCACGGATCTGCTTGAACATCTCAACGAGTTCAACCAGATCATAAGCCAGTTAGCAAGCCTTGAGGCCGAAATTGAGGGTGAAGACAAGGCCCTACTTCTGTTGACATCACTTCCAGAATCATACGATCACCTGGTTACGAATCTATTATACGGGAAGAAGACTCTTGAAACGGATGAAGTCACTGCTATTCTTATGTCAAACGAGACAAGGAAGAAGACTAGCAGTATTAAATATCAAGAGAAGATTTATTTGGAAAACACAAAGAGAGTCATAAAAGGGGCAGATCAAATCAAAAAAGGTATGGAAGCAGAAGTCGGTCAAAATCGAAGGGGAAGGACAAGTTTATTCACTATTACTGCAAAAAGGAAGGTCATATGAAGAGAGACTGCACGCAAAGAAATGAGGATATAAAGAGGATAGGAACAGGAAAAGCATCTGATGAGGCTAGCATGGCTGATAGCTCTGACATAGATGATGGGGATCTTCACTCTATATCTTCAGGTAAGAATCAATTTACTAATTCTTGGATTTTAGATTCTGGATGTTCTTTTTATATGTGTCCAAATAGAAACTGGTTCGAAACCTACAAATCATATAGTGATGGATCTGTTCTAATGGGGAATGATGAGGTATGCAAAATTATTGCAATAAGAACTATGAAAATCAAGATGTTTGATTAGATAGTACAAGTCTTATCAGATGTGAGGCATGTCCCACAATTAAATAAAAACTTAATATCCTTGGAGATCATTGACTCGAATGGTTGCAAGTATACAACAACAAGTGGAGTCCTCAGGGTTAGTAAGGGATCTATGGTTGTCATGAAAGGTCAGATGGTTGGGAACCTATATAAGTTGATAGGGAATACAGTTACAGGTGGAGCTTCTGTAACCACAGATATAGAGTCCAGTACAAATGACACAAAATTATGGCATATGCGTTTAGGGCATATGAGTGAATGAGATATGGTGCAACTTCATAAAAGAAAATTGCTGAAGGGTGTCAGAGCTTGTAAACTGGATTTTGGTAAGTACTGTGTTTTCGATAAACAGTGCACGATTAGATTCAAAACTGCAGTTCATACGAGCAACGATATTCTAGACTATGTACACGCTGATGTATGGGGACCTTCACCAATCAAATCCAAGGGTGGGGCAGAATACTTCATTACCTTTATTGACGATTACTTAAGAAATGTCTAGGTCTACTTCATGAAACACAAAAATGAAGCATTCACGAAGTTTAAACAATGGAAAGCAGAGGTAGAAAGGAGGACAGGAAAGAAACTGAAATACTTGAGATTAGATAATGGCGGGGAGTACAAGTCTAGAGAATTTCAAGAATTGTGTAAAGAAGAGGGGATTGTACATCACATTACCACACCAGAAACTCCTCAAAAAAATGGTGTGGTTGAGAGGATGAACAAGACTCTTTTGGAAAGAGCTTGCAGTATGAGATTGAATGCAGATTTGAAGAAACATTTCTTGGCAAAAGCAGTTAACATGACTTGTTTCATCGTTAACAGGTCACCATCTACAGCTATTGATTGCAAAATTTTAGAGGAGGTATGGACAGGAAAGCCAGTAGATTACTCTATGCTGAGGATCTTTGGATGCCCAGCCTATGTTCATATATAGAGTGAGCAACGTTCCAAATTAGACTCTATGTCTAAGCAGTGCATTCTCAGTTTTGAGAAGGGAGTGAAGGGATTCAAGCTTTGAGATCCTACTTCACATATGGTTGTGCTTAGTAGGGATGTTGTATTTAATGAATCTCACATGGTGAAGTCCATCAACATTTATGATGACAGAGTGTAAGTAAATAAAAGTGATGGAGAAAGATCGACAGCCCAGGTAGAGCTAGAAGAGTCTGAAATACCAGAAGAGGAAGAATTATCTTGCAGCATACCAGAATAGCAGCAACTACATGGTGAACCCTACAGCCTGGCAAAAGGCAGAAAGAAACGTGTTCACAAAGCCCTTGTGAGATACGGCTTTGAGGACATGGTAGCCTTTGCTCTCACTGTTAGTACTGAGGAAATCAACTCCTTTGAAGATGCTCTAAGTGATGCATGACGAAATGATAAATGGATGACAGCCATGATGGAGGAGATGGAGTCTCCGAAAAAGAACAACACTTGAGAACTTGTCAAGAGGTCCAAGGGAAGGAATGTGATTGGGTGCAAGGGGATCTTTCGAAAGAAAGAGGCAACAACAGAAAAGGAATGTGAGATATTCAAGGCTAGCCTTGTAGCAAAGGGCTACACTCAAAAAGAGGGAGTGGACTACAATAAAATATTCTCTCCGATTGTCAAGCACACTTCAATAAGGTTATTACTTGCTTTAGTAGCCATGTTTGATTTGGAGCTAGAACAGTTTGATGTGAAGACAATGTTTATTCATGGCGATCTGGAAGAACAAATCTTTATGGAACAACCTGAAGGCTTCAAGGCACATGGAAAGGAAGATCAAGTTTGCTTGCTCAAGAGATCGCTTTATAGTCTTAAGCAATCTCCCAAGCAGTGGTACAAGCGCTTCTCCTCTTTCATGGTACGGATTGGCTACTCAAGAAGTGAATATGATTATTATATTTATTTTAAAGTTCTTTATGATAATTCCATTATTCTCTTGATGCTTTATGTTGATGATATGCTCATCGCTGTCAAGAATGCATATGACATAACCTCTCGCAAGTCTATGTTAAGTTCTGAGTTTGATATGAAGGATCTAGGGGCTGCTAATAGGATCATTAGTATGGAGATTCATATAGATAAAAGTGCAAGTAAACTCCGGGTAACTCAAAAATGTATGTTGAAAAGGTGCTGGAGGGTTTCAACATAGACAAGGCCAAGTCAGTTAGAACTCCATTGGCGAGTCATTTCAAATTATTTGAACGGCAGTGTCCCACTGCAGATGAGGAGATAGAGCAGATGTCTCTGGTGCCCTATGCTAGCACAGCCGAAAGCCTCATGTATGCTATGGTTTGTAGCAGGCCGGATTTATCTCATATTGTTAGTGTTGTTAGTCGATACATGAGTAATCTTGGCAAGGATCATTGGAATGCAATCAAGTGGATTTTCACATATCTGAGCGGGATCTCAGATCTCGAAATTATGTTCAACAGGAAGAGAAGCTCTACAGAACTGGTGGGATATGTCGATTTCGGCGATGCTGGTGATTTAGACAAGTGGAGATCTACTATAGGGTATGTCTTCACACTATCATCGTATTTCATGAAAGGCAATGCTTCAACACACGATTGCCTTGTCTACGACAGAGGCAGAGTACATGGCAGCAATTGAGGTTACAAAGGAGGTGATCTGGTCTACAGGTTTGGCTCGTGAGTTAGGGTTGGAGCAAGAAGGTATTGTGTTGCATTGTGATAATCTGAGTGCCATAAATCTTGTAAAGAATCAAGTGTTTCATACAAGGACAAAACACATTGCTGTGAGATATCACAAGAGCTAGGAGCTTGTGTCAAAAGGAATCATTCACCTAAAGAAAATTCATACAAATGACAACCCTGCAGATATACTTACAAAGCCGGTCACTATGGAGAAGTTCAAGCTTTACTTGGACTTGTTTAATGTCACTCATAGTTGAGAGTGAGGGAAACACCCCATGGCAGGTGGGGGTACAATCGCGTACCTTTATGGAGTTACGGGGATGAAGACATCTTCAGGGTGGCTCAACAGAATTCAAACCAAGGTGGTGGTTATTGAGGATTGATATCTTGTACTCTGAGGAAATAGATCTGTCAAGGTATAGTCATAAGGACAATTCCAAAGGGTGGTTAAAAGCCCGGAGGGCCGAAGGCCCGATAGATATCTGTACATAGGGATTCGATATATCTGGGATTCAATATATTTCTGTACTTGGGGTATTTCAATAATTTGTACCATCTATCTGGGACTCGATATATATTGTTGTGACTCGATATACATTGTTGCGATTCAATATATATTATTGCGATGGGGGGTTCATTTAGGGTTAAGGGAAAAACGTAGATTTCTTTGTAATTAGAGAGAACAGAGAGGCATGAGGAAAAGAGCTAATGTAACCATATTCTCCATTGCCAGTAAAGAAGCTCTCATCTCTCGTGGATATAAGCACGTTGCCGAACCATGTATATCTTTGCATTGTGGTTGGTTGTCTCTTTATGTTGTGTTTGTTTCTTCTTTCTTGTTTTCGTGGATTGTTTTTGTTTTCTACAACATATAGATCGAAAACGTATATGAAGGGTTTACCATGCATGTGATACATATTATATTTTATCGGCTCCATATTGCTTGATAATTACTACCTACACCTTAAGGATTAATTCCTTAAAAGAAGAAGATATTGGTTGACATATGTCAAATAACTCATGCATACGTCAAATAACTCATGCATACGTCGGATAACATTTGAGCACTCCTCAAATGTTAGAGTAGGAAAGCTATAATTTACATAACCTAACATCTCAATTAAAGATCCAAAAAAACCAAAAAACTTTGAAAAAGAATAAGAAAAGTACAACCTATATTTTCTTAATATCAACTTTCAAATATTTATCACATATCAAAAAGTGCAACTCAATTTTTCTCCTGGAGCAAAGTGAAAACCACACTATACTGTATACATACACACAATCCAATGTAATTTCATAAAAAGGTCCCCACAGAAAGCTGATGAAAGTGGGGTTGAGATGAGTGGGCAAAGCCTACAATATTGTAGGAGCATGTGGTTGGAAAATTACAGTATACACAGTACAAATCCCAAAAAGGAGGATTATGAGGCTTAGGAAGTTGATGAGCAGGGCTTCCCTTCCAAAATGGCTTATAACACCATAGGACTTGAGAAAGGTGTACTTCTCCATCAATCCTATCTCAGCTGTGCCAATTGCCATTATGAATAAGGTGAGTCCAGCAGCGACATGCCATGGAAGGAATCTCTCTTTAGTGATTGTTCTTGCACCCTGGATCCAGAAAGTCACGAATCCGAAAATCCACTGCAAGATGCATAAAAGAGACTTATCAATCTAACATGAACTTCCAATAATACTTCATTGCAATAGCACGTAATTTTTGTTCATAAGGCAAAGATGGGCTAGGTTAGCCTCCTTTAGCTTTTTGATAAAAACTTCAACCCAAATCAATCTCATTTGTTTAGGATGGATTATTGGGGAAGGAGTTTCCTGACTATGGTAGGAATGAAAGTCATCTTGGGTACCCACCATCCTGACCACCTATGTCATGAGTCTGTTCTTATGTCTAGATAGCCATGTTTATATTAAGCTTATACTATGCTGAAGCAAAAGGGACTTCACTTCTTTGCATAGGGGGAGAGATGCAATCCATTAACACTTCAAGGAAAAAAATTAAAAAAAACAAAAAGAAGAAAAAAGAATGAGAGAATGCAATGTTGAAGCCCACTTTTCTACGAAAAGGTTGTATATGATAGTCACCAAGTTTTGACGGACGATATTTAGATATTTTACTTGAAGAGAAGCTTTGCATGCAGTAATATGTGAAGGAAAATTGTCTCATGCAAGCTGGACTGCATTTCTACAATATGCAGTACAAAGGTGTAAAACATCCATTTTAAAGATGGATGTAAAAAGGTGGTCCATCTAAAAACATGTGTAACTAACGGTCCAATTGTTTTTTTAATATAATTATTATTTCTAGTTAAAAAAAAACAATTCATATTCATGATCTCTATGTTAAAGATTATATATTCTCTAAAATTTAGGATCAAATTATATTAAAAAAATTTATTTATCGCCAAGCCCGCGTTTCTACAATATGTGGGCTGGCCGCATAGAAACCGTGTCCATATATGAAATATGACAACAGGATTCCTCAATAGCTCTATTCAAGAAGTTTCCAATAATTACTTTTGCAACAGAAAAACTACCTATAAATGTGGGCAGTCCCTTTCTACTACAGCATTGAAATAAGCAATAAAAACATATTATGAGGACCTTGAGGGGTGTTTGTGCAATATCATTGAAATAAGCAATAAAAACATATTATGCGGACCTGGAGGGGTCTTAAATTGAGCAAAAAGTTTGTGCAATATCGTTGAGATCAGTTTGGTGACTAAAATCATGTTTTTGGACTATTAAAATATGAAAAAGAATTCAATTCGACTATTTAGTTTGGTATATGGAGCTTGATATGAAAGCAGACCTCAAGGGTTGTAACATTGACCAAACTCAATTTCTAAACAAAAATTCTTTGAACTTTGTGACATTCTCAAAATTGTTACATTTCATTTTTGACTAATAGGGATAAATTCGACTTTCAAGAAGCAAAATAATAGACTTAATGTATGGTATACTATGAGAACACTTATCTTTAATTTAAGGAGGTCATTATTGTTCCTAGCCACTAGATGTCCAGTTTGGTGGCTTGAGGTGTATCTCAAAGCTAAAGAAATTTTTCTTCGGACTTAGACTAAGTCAAAAACGTATTCACAGGCATCTGATTTGAAATGTGGCAGACAAGGCCCACCGTGACCTCCTTGTACTAAAAGCAAGTGCTTTCTATATACTCATTGTATACATGCACAAATATTATAAATCTGATAATTGGACAAATGGATGGTTCATAGCCGTTGCTTGAGCAAATGATTTCATCCAACAAATCCATGGTTATTGGGACTTCTGCTGAGCGTTAGAAAGAAAATGTAATATTTCTCCATTTGTACATGGTCAGTGGACCCTTGATGGTGAATTTGGACATAAATGTTCAGATATATGTTGGAGCTGATCATTCTTTAGACCAGAGGATTACAGGAAAAGGCGCAAAAGCAGTTGTACGGTAGAAAGTGATTCACATGTAACATTCTAGCAACTAGCAAGCACAATTTGTATGGGGAAACATATACTGAGAGCACTTTTCTTCAAAGTAATGATCCTATAGGATCCTCCCCCACCAACGTGTATAGGATTTCAATGTTCACTATTAAAGTTAACATGGATCTCTAGAAAAGTTATCACATGGGTGTGGCATTTAACTTTTCTATGGATCCGTGTCAAATTTAATAGTGATCCTTTGGGGTTCTACGTATATGGGTGGGGGAGGATCCTATAGCATCATTCTCTTATCTTTAATACGAGGTGGTCCAATTAATTTTCACCACTGGATGTGAAATTCGGTGGCTGTATATATTTCATTGACCAAGCTCAAAGTTTCAAAGAAAGTTTTTTGAATTTTGTGATACACCAAAGCTGTTAGGTCGCACATCAATTTGTGCGTGGTCAGTGGACCCTTGATGGTGAATTTGGTCATTAATGTTCGGACCTATGTTGGAGCTAATCATTCTTTAACAAAAAAAAGGCACAAAACCAGTTGTACGGTAGAAAGTGATTCACATGCAACTTTCCGGCAACTAGCAAGCACTATTTGTAAGGGGAAACATATAATGAGACCATTTATCTTTAATACGTGGTGGTCCAATTAATTTTCACCGTTGGATGTGAAATTCGGTGGCTGTATTTATTTCATTGACCAAGCTCAAAGTTTCAAAGAAATTTTTTTGAATTTTGTGATGCTCCAAAGCTGTTAGATTTCACATCAGATGGTTATAAGTAATTGTGACCTCCTTGTATCATAGGTAAATGGTCTCATAGTATACAATCCCATATGTATGCGTCTTCAAAGATTGATTGTGGTTCACGTCATCCATATTGATCTCTCATATTAGGTACCTTTCTCTAATATCATACTTGAAAAGTCTTACACTCTTTGGCCTTTTAATATTGGAAATGTTTATATAAGCCTAAAAAATCCTACAAAAAATTGTATCTCAACATTGGAGAATCTCCAATTGATCATCTCGATGATGAGATGTATGGACACGAAGAAATAAAAGAATTCTTAATTCAAAACAATATTGCATCATGTAACACATTATCTAAATATCTATTTTCAAGAATTTCAGGTGTTTATTGATCTGCTTGATTTACACTCTTTTTTAAAATTCAAATTTTATAACTAAGGATAATAATTGATTTTCAAACCATCATAAAATTTTCAAAACCAAAAAAATATCTCTAAAATTTGTTTTAGAGGTACACCTTACTTCTACAATAAAGCAGTTAACCTTTTACATTGTTCGGACCTCACCTCGATTTCTCTAAATAGACTTAGCCTATTCTCATAAAACTCTAATGAGTTGAACCGGCTGACTCGGGCTTGGGGCGAAAGAAAATCACGTGCAAAGGGATTTATTTTAACTTAGTAAAGGTGAAACAGGGAATCACTTCTATCACTTTTCTAACCATTGGATGTGGTCGTAAAATTTTCAATTTAGCGGAGTTTCTAAAACATATAAGAACTCACCAAAAATATAATAAAAGAAACGTTGTGGAAGCGATCACTTGGTGGGAAAATATTACAGTTTTTTGTGGTCACTTCGGAAAAATATCTCAAATGTTCATCACTATTCCGGGCCCTAGCCAATCCCTAGTCCCCGTAGGTTGGCAAAGGGCCGGCCTAGGCCAGCCCAGCCATTACATAGCCAAAGAGGCCATGGCCATGGTCCTGGCCCAGCCCTAACCCTATCAAGGCCACAGCACGTCAAAGAAATCCAAAAATATAAACGGAAAAAATAAATAAAAAGTGGGCAGATAGGGTGGAAGCGGATCGGCCCGGCCTGTCCCACCTTGGGCCGTGGTTGCTCGGCCCTGGCCTGCCCTCAGGCCACATTTTGTGGCCCAAGCCCTAGTTTTCTTGGGCCAGGCTGGGCTGGGCCACCCGGCCCATTGCCCCCCATAATCACCATCTATCATCAGACGATGATGGAGAGGGAAATCGACCCACGGAATTTGTCATGACTTGGATGGACGATCTTGGCCTCTCACCATCTCGAGGTCAGCTTCATGATCATGCAGCGCATGTGGTCATGAGAGATTGCAGCTCGTAGATATTAAAGGAAATGATGCATTATATATACCTGCAAGCCATACAAACAAATGGTGCCCATGCCCAACCAAGAGTGCAAGGAATACATGTCCGGTTCACCCAACTTCCTGTGGTACTTGAACGCAGCATACACGCCAACCACTCCCAAGACGAGACCCACTAAATGCAAAAGCATGTGTATAGCCTTCTGGGCTCTCTTCGTTGCTCGGACCACCCTATAAGCGACGATTGCTGACAATCAAAGAACACAACACTAAGGGAACCCTTATTAAAATTAGGGCATGATCGACGGACCACCCTATAAGCGACGATTGCTGACAATCAAAGAACACAACACTAAGGGAACCCTTATTAAAATTAGGGCATGATTGACTAACAAGAAAGTTTTTATGTTAATATATTTTAACATAAAAGAACTCCTCTATGTGATTAGGTATGAAATTTTTTCACAACAATTGGTCCAATTTTATTGTCAACTTTTCTACTGTGGATCGATTGGTGTGAAAATATTTCTATACTCAATCAAATGGGGGAGTCCTTTAATGTGAAAATATTTTATGCAAAAATTTCATACGAACAAAATGTTTTGTTTGGCACTTTTTTGTGGTGCCACTTTCCCATGAAACAAACATGAGAAATAGGTATAGTCAATGGAAATTGCCCTCGAAGTGAAGGAATTTGGTTCCAACACACATGCCCTGAACGTAGGTAGAAAAGGAGAGTAAAGGGTTACCTTCTCCTCCACAAAAAATTAGCCCAAGAAACATCAAAACGGGATGGACCTATAAAATATTAGCATTCGTCAATCAGTAGGAGTGGAAAGTACAAGAGAGAGCTAGTCCATAAACTTAGCAATCTAAACAAAACAAACCAAAAGATGTAATGAAAATGAACTAAAAGAGAGCCTATGCATAGTGAATAATAGATTGGTGAAGAAGTTGGTGAAATGAATCGAACGTTGAAAATGTGGAGCGCATTTTCAGAGTCCAAATTGAGGCCTCCACGAAAGTGTATATTCCACAAGAGCATCAGGATACCGGCAGCTATGCCGAGAACAAGAGCAATTCCTGCGAAATGTTGCCCTGCCATCTCTCTCTCTAATTTAGGGATGAGAAAATGCTGTGAGGTAATGTCTGACTTTCACTTGTATTTATCAAAGAGAGAAGGGATGCCTTTGCATCTTTGTAAGAGCAACGCTGGAAAGGTTTTTCTCAGGGTGCTTGCTTCGTTCATGGGGGAGGTATTTAGGATAAAATACCAATCTTTTTGTTTTCTTTGGCTATATAAGCATGAATGGGTCTCTGATCTTTTTCACTGGTGAGTTGGAATCGAATACCATTCATTTGTAGCAAGTTTCATTCAAGTCTCAAAACGCACTAGTAAAATTTGGAGACAAGCTATCCAATGTTTCACAGGATTCGATATATACCCCCTTTTTCTTTTTCCTCTCCCTTTTTTCTGTTTTTTTAACTCACGATCTGTTCCTTGGGAGCCACGTCGTCTCACTAGATTGGGGATATACTTTGCCCCCGTTTTGCTCCCGGATGATTCAAAAAAGGTTTGGTCTATTACTATTTGGTGTATTTGGATGGAAAGTTTTGGGGTACGTGGTGCAGGTAATTCACCCGGAGAATGTCTTTAAAGGCACATTTTTCATTGGGTCAGATCATTGGCAAAAGTAAAAAATTGGTTTTTTGTTTATCTTAATTAAATATAGCTTCCAACATTATTCTTCATTGGAATTTATCACCTCTCAGAATTGATATTCAGGTGGCATGGCTACTTCCTCCTCTAGTCTTATTTTAAGCTTAACATTGATGGTTCTCTATGCAGAATCTAGATAATGCTAGGGGCATTATCAAGATTGATGTAGGTGGTTTTATTGCGAGCTTTGCAGCTCCGTTGGGCACCAATTCGAATAACACAGCTGAATTCTATGCACTTGAGATGGGGATTTCATTGGCATTGGAATTTAATTATGTACCTCTTGTCATTGAGTGTGACTCTAGGCTTCTTGTTGATTCCTGGAATCGCCGTTGCAGGCCTCTTTGGAGATTGTGTTTAATCATGGATAGTAGCATATCTAAGCTTGCATTTTTCATTGATCAGTAATGGAAGGCCCAACATGCTTATAGGGAGGGAAATATGGTTCTGAATTCTTTGGCCAAAGCAGCCGTCTCTATGAATGACGCAACTGCATGGCGTGCTCACCCCTCTGCTTTTGTAATGCCTTACAATTCATCTAATGTTGCTAGTTTTCCCTTGCCAAGCGTTGTATAAGAGTATTTATGTAAGGAGAAAGTTTATATAGAGTCGACGCTCTAAACAATCAAATTGGAGCCCACCTCAAATATTTCACTAGAAGAAGTTGTTTCGATACCCAAATATCCTCAAATTGATCATCTTGACATTAAGATGCCTGGACATGAGAAAAAAAAACAGATTTCAAGCTTTGGAAACAACGCATATTGTAACGCATTTTTGAACCGTTAACTTTCAAGATTTTCAAGTTTTCATAGATCTGCTCAATCTATATTATGTTTTAAGCTTTAAATTTTATAATTAAAGATGAAATTATATTTTAAGGCTATCACAAATATTTCTAATATTGAAACCACATTCCTCGACACTATTTGAAGGTGCGTTTTACTTTGATTGTTTAGAGCATCGGCTCTATACAAATTGCACCTTTTATATAATACCTCTTTTGATTCTTTAATAAAATGGGTAAGGGCCGATATCCCCACTAATTAAAAAAAAAAAAAACAAATAAAAATGAGTGCTACAGAACTTGGACTAAACTGGAATTCTACTAACAAATTACAGTCTTTATTACAATTGACAAACAAGTACAACCTCTCTCATCTTTTTTCTTTTTTTTTTGACCAAAGTTATCAATTCTTATTGCAGAAATTCAAGCAAAATTACAATAATCAAGGAGAAAAGGAGTCAAGAGATTGGCCAAGGAAGGAAGAAGCAAGTGAAACCCCTCTTTTGGCCTGATCATCAGCCACAATGTTGGCCTCTCTGCAAACATGCTTGAAAGACAGAGAAAGCAGCGCAATCATATCCATCACCTGACCCCAAATAGACCGCAATCTCTAAGGGTTTTCTGTTTTCTTACACCACTTAATCACATTAAGAGAGTCGCCTTCCGCCACAATAATGCTTCCCAGGTTTCTAGATTTAATTAACCGTAGGCCATAAAGCAACGAAGAAAACTACGCAACATTAACAGTGGCAACCCCAATAGGCCTAGCATATGCTAAGAGCAACAAAGAAAACTCCGCAACATTAGCAGTGGCAACCCCAATAGGCCCAGCATATGCTAAGATAACAGTACCATTCGAGTCCCTAATTACACTACCTATACCCCCGTTCCCGAGTTACCAAAAGAGCTCCCATCGAAGTTCAATTTTAAAGACCCACGGTAAGGAGGTAGCCAGTGTCCAACTCGTCGAGAATTGGGGACCATGGAAGAGACCAAATTGGCTAAGTTAAAGCGAACATCCGTCTCAAAGATACCCCTCCCTTCATTAGTAGCCGAAAACCAATACCAAGAGGTATGTAAACTACGATGAAAGAGACTCTCACAAGAGAGAGCAACCCCATCAAAGGTGTGGTGGTACGCTCTCTCCAAAACTCCCAACAAATAGCCCCCTTAATGATTTGCCACAAGATAGCTCCCAACTTTGGAAGGTTAGGGAATGCCAATTGAGAAATGATACCCAATACATCCTGAGGCCTAGCCAACCTAAATCCAATTATGTCCAAAAAGGAAGCCGAAATATGCGAAGCAAAGGTACAATGAATAAGAAAATGTAAAACAGACTCACCATTATCCTTACACATTAAGCAAACATTGGGAAGGATTTTACCTCTCTTGATTAAAGTGTCAACCGTCAGGATCTTATTTTGACCAGCTAACCATAAAAAACATTGGACCTTATGAAGACCCCTCCATTTCCACACCGGAGCAACCTGGGGCAAGGACCATCTGGGCCTATCATGGAAAAGTATAACCTCTCTCTCTCCCCAACTCTCTGCACCTTCTCTTCCTCTCACGTTCCTCTCTCTTCTTAGATAACTCTTTCTCTAGTATCTCACTTATGTTAGCCTTCATCTCACTCTAGCAATCTCTACGACTCTCTCTCTCTCTCTAAAATTCTTTCACTCTTCTCTAAAATTATCTAGACACCCTCTTGGAACCCTACAACATGCCCACACCTATTATCATTTCCGATACAAGGGTTTTCTCACAAACTTAACTCTCAATATTTTTTTAGAACTCATGCGATGCATGTGAACAAAAGATGTCATGCATAGAATATGGTAAAATGGGTTTACTCAACAATAGCAACTCTTAATCCCATTTTTCAAAATTTTTCATTCCAAGTAGGATCGCCAAATATTTGAAAGTGTCTGCTTTCAATGTCTTTGTCAAGATTTCAACTGCTTCTTTTTCTGACAAACAAAATACTAGCTCAATTTCACCTTGTCAAAAAAAAAAAAAAGTTCAACCTAAATATTTTTGACATGCTCCCAAATCAAATGAAATATTTTGTCTATGCTACTATAAAACACTGGATTCTTGGCTAATGCAATCGGCAATTTATTGCTGATTTTGATTGTTGTAGGGCTTTCTAGTGGTACCTGCCAATTCTTCAAACCACTTTACAACCAAATCACATGGCATACACATGAAAAATATTGTTATATATTCAGCTACACATTGAATAAAGCACAGTCAGCTGCTTCTTTGAGCACCATGTACAAGCTATAGAACCAATGTAAAATACATAACACGTAGTACTCTTTCTGTCGTACAAATCACTGCCCGAATTGTTGTCACAATAGCCAATAATCTTGAATTTATTTGAATGAGAATAGAGAAGTCCATAATCTTTAGATAAAGAGGAATTCTATTGGCTATCTCCAAATGAGTTTGATTAGGATTCCATGCACTGACTTATCAAGCCCACTCCATATAAAATATTAGGTCAAGTACATGTCAAATAACACAAGCTACCACTCAGGCTTCTGAAGTATGTGGCATCAATTTTGGAGTCTATCATATTTTTTTATTCAACTTATATTCAACATGACTGGTTACTATGTTATAATGTTTCATTTCAAAATTTTCAAGAATTTCCTTTGTATATCTACTTTTTGACAAACAAAAGCACCATCATCACTTTGTTTCACTTCTTCCAAGAAAATAACTTACAAGTCCAATGTCAATCATTTCGAATTCATTAATTATGGACCACTTAAATCAATCAATCATTCTTGGATTATTTCCATAAAAGTCAAATCAGACATTTCAAAAAACTATTTTCATGAAAGTATTTATCAATCATGGCATTTAAAACTAGGTGTTTGCTTTAACCCATACGATACCTTTTTTAATTTATAAACTTTTTTTTCAAGCCCGAATGAATTCAATATAAACTTCTTCTTGAAGATAACCATTCAAAAATACAAACTTGACATCCATTTGAAAAAAAAATGATTTCTTTTGAGCAGCCAAGGCCATAAGTAATGTAATGTATTCAAACTAACAACTGCATAAATACCTCCTGGTAGTCAATCGCTGCCCTTTGCTTGTAACATTTGGTGAGCAATCTTGCTTTACATCTCCAATTCACCCTTCTCATTCTTCTTTGTTTTATAAACCCATTTTACACCAATTGCTTTACACCCCTTTGGAAGTGATGTAAGCTTCCATGTGTCATTTTTCTCAATAGCTTAAATCTTCTCATCCATCACCTTTCCCCATCTTTTTTCATGGACTATGTCATCGAAAGCTACATGTTAACATTTAACAAAGAAACAACATAGAGTGTGTTCTGTTTGTATATTCAGTTCACACATATATTTCATACAAACTTCACTTCGTAGGTGATCTTTCACTTGAATTTTTACCCATGGAAGAACTAGATGAACTTGACTCATGTTGAAGAGATGAGCATGAAATAATTTCTTTTGACCTCTGTTGCACATTGTCAAGCTTTTGATTTCTCATCATAACCAGTAAAAACACTATTTTGGTTATATCTTCCAATTTAGTTCTCATTTGTTTGGAAGATGTGAGTAGGCAATGCCCCCCAAACACCCTTATGTGAA